AGGCGGACCTCAGGCGGGCAGCGCAGTGACACCTGCAAACGTCCAGGTGAGTTCCGCCACGAGCCCAGCCCGGCCCTGGCGGCCGGGGTGTCCCAGGTTGCAGGGCAGCGAAGAGGAGCCCCCATAAAGCAGGGCAGCATTCTGACTTGAATGGACAGTGCAGGATTTGGGGTGCCCAAGATGACTAGAATTCTTAGGGAATTCTAACCCAGAGGAGAGGCGCACAGAGGAGCCGCAGCTCTGCACCCTGCGGTGTGTCCCGCAGCGCGTGTGCGGGGTCTGCCCACAGCCGGGGAAGAACCAGAGCAGCGGCTAAGGCTGGACAGTGCTCAGCACACACGGGGCCGGAGACCAGCCGTGTGTCCAGCCACCCAGGGTGGTGGGCACAGTGCCCGGAAAGCTGGCTTCTCAGCGGGCGGGCGACTGCCCCGAAGGCTGTTCTGAGCTCACCCAACAACGTAAAGACCCCAAAGGTAAGATTATTTCCCAGTAGTTCACTGCATCCCAAAACAAAGCTCAAAAACGTATCAAGGAATCACATCCCAGGACCCCCGAATCTCAACGACTCAAGACGCGGGAACCTCTCGACCAGCACTGGCGAGCTGGGCTCACCTCCGTCTCCCTCCCCGCTTCCCGGCGGTCAGCCTGCTCACCCCTGGGGCCCCGGGTGGGCTCCCCTCCCAGCCCTGCTCGGCGTCCGTCAACCGACATGACGAAAACCAAACTCCGACCCTCTGCCCATTGGTCCCGGCCACACTGGACGCCACCTTTGCCCCTCCCTTTCTTTCACACCTGGGTCCATCAGCGACTCCCATAGGCTCCACCTTCCCACCTCACCTGTCACCCCTCCTGGGAAGCGAATGAGGGGTGAGGGGAGGGTTCGTGGCCATGGGGGCATCCTGACCGCCGAGTTGGGGCGGCTGGCCTGTGGGTGTGTCTGCTCTGGGAGGGTGGGAGGGCCCCCGAGGGCAGTGTTCACGTGCCCAGACCCACCTCGGTCCCAAAGTGGTGGCAGCCGGACAAAGTGTGGAGGGGGTCACAGGTCCTAGGCATTGGCGTGGAGCCACCACTGAGCCTGGAGCCTCCGTGCACAGCTTCCCTTCACGCCCTCATCTCCGAGGGGGCAGCGGCCAGCCAGGTCCTCCCTCCCGTCAGCCACCTGCCTCGCACCGGTCGCCTGCAGGCACAATGTCTCCCGTCTGTTGGCTACGGTGGCCTCCCAACGTGCCCTTGGTCCCCTCTCGTGCTCCCCAGGCCTGGGCCACGCGGCGGCACCCCCCTGGCCGTGCAGGCCGGTCTCCTGCTCACCCGGGCCCCCCGCACTCCCATGCACCCTCCCTGCGCGTCTTCCGAAGCCCGGCAGGTTCCAGACGCTGCAGACACAGCAGGAAGCGCAAGAGGCGGGCGCCTCCCGCTGCGGCCGGAGCACGGAGACCAGGCCTCTCGCCTGTGGCCCCGTCCACAGCCGGGCGGCCACCCTCGGGGGGCCCTGCCCTTCACCCTGAAGTTTGTCCAGCAGCACCCGGCCTCTCCCCGGTAGGTTCGGTGGCGTCTTTCCTGCAGCTGTGACCACACAGTGTGCCCAGACACGGCCAAATGGGGCACAGTTGCCCCCCCCCCCGCCAAGGACTCTGGATAAAATGAATAACGTATATAATGAGTCAGAAAGTGAGACGGTAAGGAAATGAAAAATGGGGGTCAGAGCGAGGGGGGCTGGAGGATGGGGTGGTGCTGTGGACCGAAGCTCTGTGTCCCCAAAACTGATATGCTGAAGCCTTGCCCTGTGCGGCTGCATTTGGGGGGGGTGTCTGAGGAAATTAAGGTTAAACAAGGTCATAGGAACGGGGCACTGATCCTATAGGATTAGTGTCCTTATTAGAAGAGCCGCCTGAGCTTCTCTTCCCATCGCCCCGCGCCCCGCACGCTCTCAGGAGGGATCTGTGGGGAGTGGGGACCGCAAGCCAGGAGGAGTTTCCGACCAGAGGCCAGATCCGCTCGACGGATCCCGGACTTCCCGCCTCCAGAACTGTGAGAAAAGACACGTCTGTTGTTTAAGCCCCTGGTCCCAGGTGTTTTAAGCCCCCTGTGCCGAGCGAGCCCGGCAGGGTGGGGTGGCAGCTGCTTTACAGAGCGCGGGCGCCTGTGGAGGAGCCGAGCGAAGGAGGGGAGGCCGAGGCCGCAGAAACAGGCGGCCTGGCTCCAGGGACGGCCCTGCGGCCGGAGCAGCCAGCATCCCTGGCCCGGGCAGGTGGACGGCCTCCGCGCCACGTGGGGGCGGGGACTGTCCCTGGGGTGAGGCGGGGTCCATGGAGGGCCGTGAGCACAGAGGGGACGGTGTCCCTCAATCGCACCAGCCGAAACACGGAAGCAGCCCAAGTGTCTCCCCAAGAACGAGCTATGCGCAAGGCAGCACGCGCACACACACATGCACAGGCACACGCGCGTGCACACACACACGAGTGTTACCCGGCCCTGAGACGGAAGTCGTGCTACAGGCTGCAGCATGGGGACCCCAAGGACGTTGTGCTCAGTGAAACAAGCCAGTCCCCCACCACAGCGTGTAGGGTTGGGACGCTGAGGGCTCTGGAGGTGGATGAGGTGGTGGCTGCGTGATGTGAACGCGCCCGATTCTGCTGACTGCACATTTAAAAGGGGTCAAAATGGTGTATTTTATGTTCTATGTCTTTTACCAAAATTTAAAAAGGAAGCTATAAGGTCCATCCGGTTGTCTTATGGACCACACGATGACAGTGAGGTGACTGGAGAGTCCAGGCGGGGGGCAGTGTGCAGCAGGGCCAGCAGCCCTGAGGGGGACGATTCCCACGGTGCTGGGGGACCAGCCGGCAGGGGGCCCCGCGCTTTTGCGGGTTCCCTCTGAGCATTTGCAAGAGGGAGCTGCGCGCCCGCCTTGAGCAGAGACTGCTGTGCAGGGCCGCTGAGTATTATCTGGGGCATCGACGGGGGCAGATGGAGGTCAAAGCAGGTCCGTTTGGGGCTCAGGGCACTGAGAAGTCTGCTCTCCAAGTGGTGACAGATGTCCGGGGGGCAGCTGGACATGAGGACCTGGAGCTGCAGGGCTGGTCTTCACAGTCCCGACTGGGGAAGCTGGCAGAAGGTAGGCGTAGTGGAGAAGGGGTCCTGGGGAGGCGACACGGAGCGGCAGAGGGGCGGGGCAAAGGGCTGCCCATCAGCATCCCACGGGGAGCAGAGATGCAGGCGGCGGGGCCGCGGGGTGGACTTAGGGTTCCGGACGTGGGTCCGGGCAGCGCAGGGACGCGAGCCCGACAAGAGTGGGCTCAAAAGAGAAAGCGGGGAGAAATGGCCGGCGAGGACAGGCGCTGGGCGCACGAGGTTTTGTTTGGATAGGAAAGAAATCACAGCCTGTTTGCTGAAGAGAAGGGGGGAGGGAAGGAAACTCCAGTGTCCTGGGAGGGGAAGGA